AGTATTGTTCACTAGATAAATATAAGGAAATCGAATAAATAATATATCGATTGAACTATTCATTGATTTAATTTTTTACCGTTCTTCAAGTTTGGTAATGGAAGCATTTTTTTCTTGAATAACTCGTTCAAGTTTTTCAATTAATTGTTCACGATTTCTTGTTCGAAGCTCTTCATTATTTAATAGTATAAGTTGTTGGTCATTTGTATACCTTGAATTGAAACATAAAGAAAATAAAAAAATGACCATTAGAAACAGATTCTTTTTCCGTTATCATATATCCGTACTGTGGTTCTATAAAGGTATTCGATGGTGGTTGAATACCATTCGATGCTGCCATATATACCTATAAAATTTCTTTCTTACGAGAAAGTCAATTCATAATTGAACATTATGCATGTATTCTCCTGTTGTCACCTTGGTTACTCTCTCCTCATTGATTTCACTCCAGTAAAGTGCACAACTGCATTAAATATTCAGAAGGAAGAAAAAGATTATTGAAAAAAAACTTGGCGGTTTTTTTAAAATTTTCATTATAGGAAAATAGTTTTGAAATTTAATCTATTCAATTTTCTTTTCTAAATATTCTTGTAAAATATTTAATTATTCGGAGGAGATCGATTTTAAATCATTGTTCATTGTTATTAAAACAAGGGTCGTCCGACTGACTATAATAAAGCTAGTTACTAGTCGTTATTTTTCTCTTTTTTCTGTTGAATTTATACATTCTCTATATAGTCATCGGTTATATTCGTTCTTTTTACTTCGAAGTTTAAACGATCGATTAGCAACTAATCTAATAATAATGCCACCAAAAAAAGGAACTACCACCAAAGCAACAACTGAAATTGATACTGATCAGAAACAACAAGTTAGTTTGTTATTACTAAATTAATATAATTAAAATTTTGATTTATTTAGAAAAAACAAGATGAAGAAAATCAACAACCGACAGATACGGAACAATCAAGTCCAAAGAAAGCTACAAGTGAATCAAAAAAATCTACCGTAAGTTATTTCTAATTTGAATTTTTGAAAAACAAAAAAAAAAAAGTGTAACTTCGATTAATTAGAATACTAAAGCTGGTCAATCACGAAAGAAAGGTGAAGCTGAAAAACTTCAACAAGAAGCATCTGGTGTAAGTATATCTATGTAATTTTCATTTTTCTTTTTATTTTGAAATCATTTTAAATTTTAGTTTATTGAACGTACAAATAAAAAATCTGAAATTGGTGAAGATTCAAATGAAGAAGATCATGATGATGAACAATCACCAAAGAAAAATCATAGTTCATCAACAACTGAAGTAAAACAAACAACTAAAACTACTACAGGTCGTGGTGGTAAACGACAACCAACTAAAAATATGGCAAAACATGATGAACAAAATGAAGAAGATCAAGAAAATGAAAAAACAAGTACTTCAGCTAAACCTGCAGGTAAAGGCAAAGCTGCTGCTGCTGCTGCACAAAAAAATAAAAAATCTGAAGAAGATGAACAAAAAGATGCTGGTAATTAAATTGAAAAATTATTATGCATATATATGATAATATATGTTGTTTTTTTTTTCTAAGGTACCGGTGAAGATGAAGAAGCTGAAAATGAAATTGATTCACCAAGTAAAAAAACAAAAGGTAAATCTACTCGTAAACAAGCTCAAAAAAATAAAACAACTACTCAAGAAGTTGAAAATGGTAAATAAGAAAAATTTTATTTTTCAAAAGACAAAAACAAAAAAAAAAATCTTTTAATATTTAGAACAAAACGATGAAAGTGATACAAAAAAGAAAACAGCAGCTGGTAAAAAGGGAAAAGCTCCTGGTTCATCAAAAAAACAAACAACATCTGAAAATGAAGAAATACCTATGAATGATGAACTTAAATTATCAGAAGATGAAGAAACTTTGGATGATAAATCTAAAAGTGCAACAACAAAAAAAGGAGCAGCAAAACGATCAGCACCAGCATCGGGCAAAAAACCTAGTGCTAAAAAGAAAGGACAAAATGATGAACCGTTTGAAGATCATACAAATGATGAGAAAAATGAAGAAGTTGAAAATAATACTGAAGATGGTTAGTTGAATATATGATTCATTTTTTTGTTTTTTGTTAAATCGAGTTTTTTTTTTTTTTTATAGAAGCTTCAACAGCTAAACAACAGAAAAAAGGTCGTACAGCTGATAAAGCTCCAACATCAACGAACAAGACAAATAATCGTGGTGGCAAGAAACCCAAAGCTACATAAAAAAGAAAAATAATCAGGATTTATTTTCGTATCATATTATTAATAGTAGCTCTTCTTTCATATTAATTGTATTGATATAATACTCGTATGTTTTTCTTTCTCTATTCATTCAATTATATTTGTTTGTTGATTCTTTCTTATAATCAAACTCTTATGTGTTCTTTCTTCTATTTCAACTTAAACTGAATTATGCAAATGTAATTGATTAAAACACGAAAAAAGAAAAAATTCAATAATTATCTCATGAAAAAATCATTTTACTTGTATCGATCAAGAATCATAATCATAAGAAATAGAATAATTAAATATTCAAAAATCATATAAACTCAAGAGAATCACATCAATACATGTATTATAATACATTTGTTGATTGACATAAAATTTAAATAAATATGTTTGAAGTATGAATCCATTTATTCAAAAGTCAAATAATAAAGTCAATCAGATATCCGTCCTAATATGTAATAGTATTTAATATAGGATTAAGCAAAATATTTAAATCAAAACTAATTTTTGTTCGAGAAATGTTTATGTTAAATTATCAAATCGATTGTATGTGATGTTTTTATCTTATGTGATATGTAAATGATGATCAATCAATAGAACTTGAGGGCATCGGTGTGAATGAAAAGAAGATCCATACCCACATCCTCAAATTTCGATGTTACCTTCAAATTTTTAGAGTAAATATTTGGAAGGAAACTTTCGAAATAGAAAATATGGAAGCGTCGAAAATAGCTCGTACCGGACTAGTTTAAGTTACTGTTTTCAATTGATTCAAAGGGGTCTATACGTTTCAATTTTTCGAATAAAAACATGCATCGTTTTGTTCAGATTTTTTTCTGCATCCGTTTGCCGGACATTTGCTTGTAGTATTTATTCTCCTAAATAAAAACATTGAGAAACATGTTAAAATCGTGAACATATAGAGAGAAAAATTCTCTGTTTTACTTTTAGTGGCGGTATTCATAAGCATCTACTCATTCGCATCTTTCTTGTTTTCTATCTGTAGAAAACTACAAGACAAAATCAACAACTTTTTAGATAATAAAATTAGCACCAGAATTCAAAATGAAGGTAACATCCCTCCAGGATAGGATATTAACTAGATAAGACTCAAGACCTCTTTTTTCTTCTTTTCCGTCGAAGTTCAAAGATTAAACATTTAGTAAGTTTCGTTTTTAATTCACTAAAAGCACATTATCAACAGGAAAGAAATAAATATAAGTAAAGAACAACATAACAAAGTTACTTCTCTTTGTTCTTAAGTTAGAAACCAACTAAAAAACAGAAATATCTCGAAGTTGTTAAGATTGAAAAGTTCAAAGATCTTTGCATAAAAGTACGACTAATTTTTTCTGTAGCCTATAACGTACATCATCAGACTTTGTTGCGAAACGAACATTCTTTTAGTAGACTTGTCCAAAGTCGTGCTTTTTTCTGCAGTTTTATCAGAAAAGTATCCATGAAAATATTTAACAACATTTCTCGTCACAGTCGATGACGTTCATACTCAAAAAATGAAGGTATTCCGATAAAAATAACGAAGTTTTCTAAAAGTTTAGCTTCAGACTTTTGTTTTTAGATTAATAATAACTCGTGCAGTTGTAAAATTTCCATGAGACTAAAACGTTTTGTGCATTCTTTAAAAATTTTACTTATGCTTACAGTTTGATTCTACACTCCGGCAGAGAAAGCTACTGCTAGGGCATACCATCATTCCCGATGAGTAAAAGACTCATCTCTACATTCAGAAGTCTTTTTTGAGTAAGAGCATGAAAAGCTTGAAAACTATGTATTCTCGTGCTATGCTAAGTCTAAAACTAGGATTATCTTATTACTCGAGAGTACTTCGACAAGTTCATTCGATTCCAGTAACAAATGCTTAAATTGTACATTAATTCAGTATTTTAGGGCTTCGTTTTACTAACAGAAGAACTTGTTTAGACTTAAAACAATTGAATAGTAAATTGTATGTTTGTAATATCATCAAAATTGATTGTCAATTGTAAATGTTCTTGTCTGTTATTATAATTATCACTTATGCCCGACACTTTTCTTTTTTACTTCTTCGTCATATGCTTGATCATATGTTGTTTTTGCTATCATAATTAGATTTTTTCTATTATGCGAAAATGGCATTGATATAATCAAAAGCATTATATTAATTGAAGCCTTTCTTGTATGAAAAATATTTATAATGATTTTCTTTTTTTTTGTTTTAATTTACTATTAGAATTAGAATGATACATTAATACATAGTTATAGAATTAAATATATATTCGAAAAATTAGAAACATCAATCAGCTTGATTTGATCTGTACTAGACCATTTTATGATTTTTAACTTAGCTTGTTTTTCTATCTTGTTAATAATACTATCTTAAATTATATTGATATACTTCAACTAAATCATTACTATCATCTTTGATATGAGCAATCGAGAACAATTATTTTATTAAAATTTTCATCGAAAGTACATACAAAAAAAAATTTTTCTGCTATTTTTTTACCATTCAATATCGAATTTAATCGGTATATGATCACTGATATCCAAAGCTTCATCCAATGTCATACCCAATTGTTCTTGGAAGTGAACAGTTGTATTACTGTTTGGTACAATAGCGTTAACAAATTTATCACCATTAATAAAAACACGATCATATGTGCATGTTTGTCGAGTGTTTGTTTTAACTTGATTATTAATCACCCATGTAAAATCAACATAACTGATTGTTCTAAATAAATAAAAGATATAAAGATTAAATTTATTTTATTTTTAAAATAAATTAAAACTAACCGAAGCATTAATTGACGTCTAAGTGAAATATATGAACAATCAGCATTAAAATCACCAACAATTAAAATAGGATGATTAGTTTTCAAACTTGGTTTATTATCAACTGTTGCATCAACAACATTTTGTTCTAAAGCATCATTGAATGATGTTGATGTTTCATCAAAATATTGTGGATGTTTAGTAATAAAATCTTCAATAGCAACACGCATACTAAGTAATTCTGCGTATGCAGCATCTGGTCGTAAATGAACATTCATAATAGTAAAGAATTTAACACCAGATTTTCCTGGTTTCTTAACTTTAAATGTACCAATGAAACTAAATAATATAAATTTTAATAAGAAAAAAAAAATTAAATAAATTTTAAATTAAATTCTTACGGTGGTCGTTCAAAATTATCTGGAACATCTTCATAAAGATAAGCATTAACAAGTTCAACACCTGATGTGGCTTCACGATTGAAAAAAATATATTGTTCTTTTGTGTTTGAACGACCAGCACGTCCACTTAATATTAATGTATATGGATTTTTACCTGAAACTTTATTTAATGCATCATGTAAAACATGAGGAGCTCTTAGTGATGCATCAGTAATTTCTTGAATAATTGCCAAATCAAAATCATTAATAATTTTAGCAACAACATTTGTTAATGTTGCATTAGCAGCTTTTTTACTTCCATATTGATGTAAATTAAATGAACCAATTCGAACAGCTGAAACATACGTACCAAGTACAATGGTTAGGAAAAGGACATTAGAAACGATTCGCATCATTGTAGTAATGTTGATATTTACTTTCAACAGGGAATAGATATATGCACAATGTATTGAAATAGTGAATTGCTTCACTATTTATTTCAATTGAATGGCATTGAGAAATCTATTATATTTAGTTTCGAATTACATTACACAGGTGATTTGACAAAGTAAAGCTTATTTTTCTTAGAGACTTAATGCATTTACTAACCGTTTGATTTTGAAAAATAAATGTTATTTTAAAGATCAAATTTCAATATTAATTTTCTTTTATTTTTCATTTTGCCTGATCATATTTCCAGTTATTTTGAAAAACAAAAAAGCTTTTATAAATCTTATCAAAATTTCATAGGTTTATAAGTGCACTCAATTTTTATTGTTCTATATATGAAAAATTCGATATTATAAAATACGCATTTCATCTAGGTAATAATTCGAAATTTAATATTTTGATTTAAGACTCCATGGTTTTTTATGTCAAATAGAAAGAAAAAAGATTAACAACAAGTAAATATATGAATGGTTAATAAAGAATAACGTCAAAATATAATGGAATACTTTTGATATTGATTATTTCGAATATATAGGATAGGCTAAAAGTAGCTTTGTCGTACAAAAAAATAATTGAATATCTCTCCCATAGCTTGATCGAATTGGCTGATTTTTTTGTACTGATGATAAATGGATGTTCATATCAATGTGGAAAAGATTGGAAAGAACCATTTTTGAACTATCATTATTGGCTCCGGCAAAAAATTCTATTCTTCTCACATATTGTGAAAAAGCAACGCCATGAAGGGTGTGGGTGTGAGGTATGGGGAAGGGAGGTCTGAGTGTGAATAAAGACACGGAATTCGCTCGCATCAGTACCCACATTAAGTTTTTTTTTATATTGTCTATGAGAGTGAAATTTTTTTTGTTGAAGCTCATAGCGATACTTCAAAACGATTCTTTTCAACATTCTCCCTGTGAACATAAACTAGGAAGTCTTTTGTCATCAGTAAAAAAAACAAAAAAGTCAGCCCTTTTCGTCAAACTATGTCGAAGATATTTATTTTTTTGCTTTGTACGGTAAACTCACTTTTGATCTACCGTATACATCGTAGTTGCATGTCATGATGTCTTTGAAATAAGACTTTTGATTTTTTCAATTGTTTTTGAATTGAAAAATAAATTTATTTATTGATTCAAATATTTTAGATCAATCCTTTTTCTTTGAATATTAGAAAATTTTCATTTATTCAAGTCATATCATTTATCAAAATCAATTAAATTCAAAACATCTGTCATTGACAATTTATTTTTTCTTTTTATTATCTCTTCTTACTTTTCACATACGTAAAAATAGAAAGAAAAGCTTAACTCTTATTATTTGCTGTAAAGAAGCTGATATTCATGCATTGTGAAAAAATAGATGTAAAACAAAACAAAACAAAAAAAAAAAACGAGGTGGGGAAGTATGTCTAAGATATTTAACAATCGATTCAAAAGAAAAAACCGTTTTTATATTTATATAACAAACAATACACACATATCGTTCGTGAGTAGACAAGAAAAGAAAAAGCAGAACAGTTTCATACTTCTTCATTGTTGTTGTTGTTATTTTGAAGAAGAAAATCAATGAAATATATATATATATATATATATATATATTTATGGCACATTATATACGATGAAAAAATGAATTAGAAAAATCCAAGTGGTTTTTTAATATTGGTTTGTTTCCAATAGGGTAAAGCATAGAATTCATCTTTAGTCATACGAAATTCTTTCTATAATGATAAAGAAAAAATATATTTAAAAACAAAAAAAAATTAACAAATAAAATCGTACTTGAAAATCTGCATTGGAAAGATAAGATTCAATTTTTGATGGATCAACACCTAAAATAATAATAAAAAATTTCATTTCAAATAAAAAAAAAAAAAGAAATTCAAAATGAATACCTTCTGGTAATGGACGAGCTCGAAGTTCTTCAATACTATATTGCTCACGACATAATTCATTGAGTACATCAATGATTGAATCTTTCTGATTTACACTTTTACCTTCCTAAAAAATTATATCGATCATAAAATCAAATGTAACACAAAATAAAAATCCTAGTTTAATTACTAACCAATTGATTTTGTTGTCGAGCTTTAATATTCACACTCCATTTAGGAAATAAATTAACAAAATCAATTGGTTCTAAACCAGCATAGACAATTGACATTGGTATATCAATAGTTGATGAACCAGTTTTTGCTAAACAATCAAAAAAAGATTTTTTGTTTTTTTTTGTTTCAAAAGAATTTCTTTTATTTTTAATATTTTTACTTTTATAATAATCAATAGCTGTACGAAATGCACAACGACGTTCAGTTGTAAAACGTATATCTCTTGGACCACGTGCTAATAAATTTGCATTAGCAAGTTGTAAACCAAGTTCATCATCAGATTGATCATGCCATCCTTGCCATATATATAATTCAGTATCAGTATCAATTAAACATAAAGCTGGTTGATGAAGTTCATATAAATCAGATTGTGTAAATGGAAATGATGATATATGATCAGGAGAACGAAGAGGATAAAGAAGTTCTTGAGCAACAAATGGACCATGAAGACTTGATAAATGAAAGATACGCATTGTTGATGAAAGTTTTAGATTTGAGCGAACTAGAAGAACAAAAACAGAAACGATGATAAATGTTTATTAAGGGATAAATTATATTTCAGATGAATCTTAATGCATAAAGATAGTTTTGATTGAAACTAGAGACGAACAAAAAAGAATTTGTCTTCTTGATTTATGACTATTTAGTAAACTTTCAATAAAATACCGTAGTCAACCTTAGATCATCTTGAAAGTTTAATTTCAAATTCAAAGTTGATACAAATATAGTTCTCAATACAACTAATTCATTGTTAAGATGTCAGATTTTCTATCAATTTCTGTTCTTAGATATAAACATAATACGATCTTTTATTGAAAAATTCACTAAAATTATCATTATTCAAGAAGAAAGATCTACATAGACACAACTTCTTTTAGCCTTTCTCAAGTCTCAATAGAACATATCTAATGAGATTAAATTCATCTCACTAATAATCTATTCTTTTTTGAGATCCTCTCAACAGATAATCAAATAAATACTGCGAAAAATGATTTAGCTAACAATTCTAATTCAATAAAACTTTTAAACAAAATCTATTAAAGCTGAATCATTATGTTCAAATTGAACTTACAGTTTATGCTCATAAGACATTCCTTAGTTTTATAATTTTGAAATTATGTATAAAATAAATTTTCTTCTTTAAATGATTTCATTCGATGAAATTAATATCAGTCTTATTTATTAGAATTATTTTGACTGATTGATAATTTCTTCGTTCTAAAGTTTTGTATATGTTAGTAGGAATAAAAAAAACTCATTAGGGCTAAAATATGGTACACACATGTCTTATTTAACCTCATTATACTAATACCAAATATGTTGAGTGAAAACATTTCTAACAGACTACAGCTGTTTTTTCAAGGATAATTGATCTATCTTATTTATATTTTTGCAATTCGAGTAGAAACTTTTTGTTTTTCTTTTGTGAAATACGATCTAGAAGGAGTATTGAAATATAGAAGTAGAAATTTGAACTCTCATAGAAACGTCACAGATCGTATATCAATAACATCTTGTTATAATATATGAACTACTTACTTATTGCATTTCTGGAGGATTAAGTAAAAGGATGTTGAAGAAATATCTCTCAAAATAAATCGAATAAAACAATCTTCCTATGATTAGTAACAGCAGGTACATTGTGTTCGCGTAGTTATTGTACTAATAGCTCTTTTTTTTTACTGACACTCCATTTTTGTTTGCCTTGTTGCTATTCGCTTGTTGTTTTTCATTTTCGTATTTCGGTTTTTTTTTTCTAAATTTAACATTACTATTATTCTAATCATCGATTTAAGTAGTAAATAAGCATGTTGTACATATCCATTATATCTAATACAGATCTCAAGACACTATTATATATCTTGATAAGCTCACAAATACTGATATTGATTATTTCCTAAAGTTATAACTTGACTAGTTCATTCTTTTTATGTTAATCATATGACGACTATGGTAAATCAATACATGACTATGTATCGCCCTTGACATCTTGAATATATATATATATATATATATCAAAATTTATACATATCTCAACTCATAATTATATCCAATCAATCTTACTATTTAATAATGAATAATATCTTCGTTCATGATTTCGTTCATTAATTCCATCCCAAAATAATTCAATTTCATCACCTTCTTCCATTTCAAAGAATTCAATATCTTCCGTTTGACCATCAAAATGAAATTCTTCTGAACATCTAAATATATTCATAATTATACATAAACAAAATAATAATAATAATAATAATAATAATAATCTTCTAAATATATTCAATTTAAACTAACCTTTCACGTAATTTCATAGCTGATTTACTAGCTAAAATTTGTTGTTCATCAGTTGTTCCATAGCCATGCCAAAGTAACATTAAATTTTCAATATTATTAATTAATAAAAATGATGTTCTACTACGTAAATTAGCACTATTAACATTTAATTCCCACCAATGTGTTTCAACATCAATTTCACCAAGAAAGACATATAAACGCCAAGGTGTTTTTTTTGGTTTCAATTGATTACGTTTACCCATATGAATAGTAAATGTACCATCAAATAATTGTAAAAATGCTGCTTCTTCATGTTCTTGAATAACATGAATCTAAATAAAACAAACAAACAAACAAAACAAAATTATTTAAACAAAAATAAATAATTTACATGAGGTCCTTTTTCTTCATTCAAAAGTATTGCCATCAATGCTGAAAGACCTTTTTCATTTGGACTAGCATTAATACCTTGCCATATCCAATAAGCAATACGATCACGACTAATATCTGTCTTTCGCTCCAATGTATTATCATTACCTATTGGAATTAATTTATATTTCCATCGAACAATATAAACATCATCAGAAT